TCTCAAAAACACAAAAGCCAATCACAAAAGGACAAATGTGAGATTCCTCTTATATGAGGAATCATATAAGATTATGTCTAGAATAGTCAAAATCACAGAGACAGACGGTAGAAAGATGGTTGCCAAGGGGTGGGAGTAGGGGGGAATGGGGAGTTAAATGTTTAATGGGGACAAAGTTTCAGTGTGGGAAAATGAGAAAGTTCTGGAAATGGATGATGATGAGGGTTGTTCAACAATGCAAATGTACTTAATCCCACAGAACTGGATACAGTGGAAAATGTTATGCTATGCATATTTTTCCATAATCTTAAAAATCAGCAACTTCTGGCCAGGCATAGTGGTTCATGCCTGTAATTCAACACTTTGGGAGACTAAGGCAGGCAGATCTCTTGAACACAGGAGTACAAGACCAGCCTGGACAACATGGCAAGAACCTGTCTCTACAAAAAATAGAAAAATTAAGGCCGGGCGCGGTGGCTCAAGCCTGTAATCCCAGCACTTTGGGAGGCCCAGGCGGGTGGATCACAAGGTCAAGAGATCAAGACCATCCTGGTCAACATGGTGAAACCCTGTCTCTACTAAAAATACAAAAAATTAGCTGGGCGTTGTGGCGCGCGCCTGTAATCCCAGCTACTCAGGAGGCTGAGGCAGGAGAATTGCCTGAACCCAGAAGGCGGAGGTAGCGGTGAGCCGAGATTGCGCCATTGCACTCCAGCCTGGGTAACGAGAGCGAAACTCTGTCTCAAAAAAAAAAAAATTAATTAATTAAAAAATAGAAAAATTAGCCAGGTGAGGTGGCGTGTGCCTGTGGTCCCAGCTACTCAGGGGGCTAAGGCGGGAGGATCACCTGAGCCTGGGAGATCAAGGCTGCAGTAAGCCATAATCACACCACTGCACTCCAGCATGGGCAACAGAGCAAGTTCTGTCTCAAAAAAAAGAAAAAAGGCTGGGCATGGTGGCTCATGCCTGTAATCCCAGCACTTTGGGAGGCCAAGGTAGGTGGATCACAAGGTCAGGAGTTCAAGACCAGCCTGGCCAAGATGGTGAAAACCCGTCTCTACTAAAAATGCAAAAAAAGAAAAATTAGACAGGCGTGGTGGTGGGCACCTGCAATTCCAGCTACTCCGGAGGCTGAAGCAAACAACTGCTTGAACCCGGGAGCTGGAGGCTGTAGCGAGACAAGATCGAGCCACTGCAATCCAGCCTGGCAGCAGATCAAGACTTCATCTCAACTAAAAAAAAAATCAGCAACTCCTGATTCTGATTTTGCCATAGGCTCTGCCTAATATCTAAGCAATATTCCCCACTTGGCTTCCACGTCAGCTTTCTAAAGGTTTACACTCTTTGAGTCCACCTTTGAGTCTTTCTCCAGCACACATCTTTCCTAAGTGTTTCCCAGTAATTTTCTGTTCACCTCCCTACTAAGCAAGACTGGTACCATGAACTTCTTTTTCAAGAAGCCCTTGCAGTTATGATAATTGGGTTCATTTAATTATAGTACAGTAACATTTCTGGTTTCTCAAATACCACTCTAAGCCTTGCAAGGTTCTCCTCTTTGACATCCCTTACCCCTCTCCCAGCACTTCTGGCCTTCAGAGCTAGAGAAACCCAAAGCAAGCAGTGTATAGTTTGTTCTACCTTACGCAGGCATCAGTGCTGGGTCTAAATCTGGCCCTTAACCTACCTGTCATGCCATGTGACCCATACTGTTTACTACCGTCTCAGCAGCCACAGGCAGAGCTTATTATTACACAAACCCCTGATCACCAAACCACACATTCTTGTGGGTCTGCTCTGAAGAAAAAGCATTCCTGATTCGGCCATGGCCTACCCTCTAGTTCACCTGTGCTACTGCTATAAACAAATCCAGGCTTGCTTAGAAACAGGCTTTAAACAATAGTTTTAAATCCTATCATTTCAGTAAAGAAAGACTCCATCGTATAAACAACACTAACACAATAATAAGAAATACTGACACATATTTACCAACCAGTGCCAAGTCTGACCCCAAACCTTCTCACTGGAACACCAGGAATGGACTTAAAGGCTTTGTGTCATTCAGGCTTGGATCGCTATAGTAAGAGCTCAACTTGATTCATTAGAGCTAAATACATAGTCTTGGGTGTGGGTAGTATTTACATTACGGCTCTTTCCTCTCCCAACTTAGGGAGAAAGCAGGAGGGAGGAACGGAAAGATCACAACCTTCATTTCTCATTAGTTTCTATAGGTTTCTAAAAGGCTGATTCTCAGCACTAGGAACTGGCACTCCCTAGCAACTTCTCAAAATAGAAATGTCAATGAGTTTCTGTTCTCTTCCATTTCACTGTCCATGCCTGGCTCTCCCAGTCTCATCTGATGTCAAGTCACCACAAACAAGGGGCATGGTGGTCTGGGGGTTCAAGGGCAGTTAACTCTCAGTTATTTACAGGCTGATAATCAAGAGGATGATTTGCACTTAAATCTTCCCGGTCAATGCACTACTCCACAGTATCCACCAGTTTCCCTGTTTGCTGTTTTGACAAAGAGAACCAGTGAGCAAGTAAGATAGAGCTAACACAGCAGCTAAGACTTCCAACATCTGAGGATTTTATCTAAACTTGCTGTTTCTCGTTCTAAGGTTAATCGTAGTCTGCATTCTAATGTGCTCTGATCTTTACAGTGATTTTCAAACTTTTTGACTCCATGGATCACTTTTATTTGACTCTTTGTTGTTGTTGTTGTTGTTTTTGGATACAGAGTCTTGCTATGTTGCCCAGGCTGAAGTGAGTGCAGTGGTATGACCACAGCTCATGGCAGCCTCAACCTTCTGGGCTCAAGGGATCCTCTGGGCTCAAGCAATTCTCTGGCCTCAACCTCCCAAGTAGCTGGAAACACAGGCAGATGCCACCACGCCCAGCAAATTTTTTTGTTTTCTTGTCACTATGTTGCCCAAGTTGATCTCAAACTCCTGGGCTCAAGCTATCCTCCCATCTCAGCCTCCCAAAGTGCTGGGATTACAAGTGTTATTTTGACTCTTTTGAACCTTACTAGTGACATTGATTTAAATGTATTTATTTATTTGTATTCTTTTAGTTCTGCCTGAGAATCTAAATTATTTCTTTTTAACTACCTCTTTAGAATTCCAAGATGGGCTCTTCTTTTGCCAAAAGTACTATAAAGAGATACCACAGTGGTATCTTCTTCCCTCCTCAGTGGATCTCAATCTTTGCCTCCACGCTGTTCTTGTACCCAAGCATTCCTGGTAGTACATCTCTAATGACACTATAATGGTTCCCAAACACCAAGGAAGAGGCACACCTTCCTCCTACTCTGCCTCTCGCTGCCCTGAGAATCATTGAAATAATATATGCTTCCAATATAGACAGAGACCATAAATATTAATACAAGAAGCCACCAGGGAACTACCTGTTTGCTTCTTAAAATTAATGAATGCAGGCTGGGTGCACTAGCTCAAGCCTGAAATCCCAGCACTTTGGGAGGCCGAGGCGGGTGAATCACAAGGTCAGGAGTTCAAGACCAGCCTGACCAACATGGCGAAACCCTGTCTCTACTAAAAATACCAAATTAGCTGGGTGTGGTGGCACCTGCCTGTAATCCCAGCTACTCTGGAGTCTGAGGCAGGAGACCCCTTGAAGTCAGGAGGCGGAGGTTGCGGTGAGCCAAGATTGTGCCACTGCACTTTAGCCTGGGAGACAGAGCAAGGCAGTCTCGAAAAAACAAATAATAATTAATTCATGCAAACCAGGCATGAAGAGCCTGGTAAGTACCAGACAGCATAAGAGGATCCCACACACATCATCACTTTTAATGCCCACAACCGCCCTGCAAGAGGCTGGGTGGGGGTGGGGGGCGGAGGTCAGGGAAGTCAATTTTCTCAGGTCACACCTAGGCAACAATGGGCTGTAGCGGATACCTGGACTTTCAGATTCTAGTCTGGCTCTAGGTGACCCTGGCCTTGCCTCTACAAACAATCTCCACATCTGCAAAATGAAAATGTTAAAACTGCTCCCCACCACCCCGCTTCCATCTTCTAAGATTACCTACGGAATAACTCACCTATATCACTAAAGCTGAGCATCTTGGATAATTCATGAGAAACTATCCTCTCCAATGCATACACCCATATACCAGAAGGAAAACCGATTCCTTAGAGAGAGCTCCCTCCTTTTTCCCCCCAAGAGCCACAAAAAAACTCAGGGGAGGGGTGGGATGTAGCAGCACGTGATCACGGCAACGCCAAAGTGCAGCCCTCAGTGACACACCAATGAAAGAAAGAGCGGGGCTTTGCTTGCAGGGCAAGCAGGGCAGGGGCCGCATCGTGGTATAAAAGGGACCGGAAGACCTGGGCTCCAGGGGGGTGCGGCACAGGAACGAAGACATACATAGCACAGGAGTCACTTTATCCGATAGTGATGATGGTGTGCCTGTGGTTGCTTCTGAGGAGCCTGAAAACGCTTCTGGAAAGGCGGAAGAAAAAGAAAGCACGCTCCAAACTGCAGGATCAGGGAGGGCTACCAGGAGCCCCTGGGCTGGCTCCATCCAGCTGAGGACCGCCGCGCGAGGACCCCGGGCGGCTACGGAGAGCGCGCACAGGCGGGACAACGGTCTTTATTTGGGTCGGGAGATGAGGTCTCCCAGGAGCCTCGAAATAAATACTTAGGTCGTCGGCGCTGGTAGCCCTCTGGGCCAGGGCCCAGGCACGGCAGACCTGGGTCAGGGATTCTTTGTTGGCAAGAGGCTTTATTTCTGGCGAAAACCCTACAATGGACCAAGCCAGGGATGAGAGCAAGAGTCTGAAGACTCGGGGGAAGGCAATGGTCAAGAGCTGGAGACCAGAGCCAGTCCCTGGACACCGCCTCAGGAGGCATCCCCTGAGGCCGTTCTCTGGGTGCAGACCCCAGACTCCCCTCTCCTTGACCAAGAATCCAAAGGACACTCAAGGCCTAGCCCCACGCCCCCTTGCTCCCCACTTTCGGGCCACGGGCTTTCTTGTACTTACCGGGGCCCGGGGGCCTGTCTTCCTCGCCCGCGTCCTCTCCCCTCCCAGCCCCCTCCTCACTTCACGTCCCCTCCTCCGGGGGCCGCAGCCATGTCCGTTACTGGCGACTCTAAGACTGCTTGCCTCCCTTCCGGACAACGGAGGCCCGGGCCAGAGAGCTAAAGTTCAGGCCATCGATTGGTCAGAATTTGAGACTGGGAGGGAATTCTGGCTTATTATTGGCTACACGGCATGCTAGAGTGTAGCTGCACCCGCCCCTCTGGGAGCCTGGCGGAATTAGGTGCCGAAACGTGCGGCGGGGTGGGTGAAGAGTCACTGTCTTTTTCTGGGCGTAGTGGGCAGGCACTTTCCAGTCCAGAAGCGCTGAAGAGAGGGTACGGCTTTTCGCTCCGATTTATTTTCTTACATAATTATTCTAAAAAGCTAGACGGCACGCCTCCCCTTTTTTCCTTTCTTTTTAAAATAAGCCCTTTGCAGAGCTCCCCGCCTCTCTTAAGTTCTTCTAAGCGCTCACCTTAGAAGCGCTTGTTACCAGGAACAAATGCCTGGAGACGCCTTGCTCCTAGGGGCCTTGGAGGGACTCCCTCAGGACGAATATTGCATTCAAACCAAAGCTAGAAAATGTAAAGCAATACTGCATTTCCTTCCTCCCACTTCCAGCTCGGCTGAAATTTAAAGGGAAAAACAAGTTTAAATTTTTTTTCTAGATAATTAGAGAAATCGCCTGGGAGACCTCTCTTGGGAAAACAAAGCAAGTCTGTATCAGTATTTACTTCTCTTTTCCCAGAGATCTAAGTCTAGAAGCCTTATTAAAAAAAAAAAAAAGTTTATAAAATTGGGAAAAACCTGAGATTGGCCCTGTGAAGTAAGAGCTCCTTCCTGCCCACATTCATGAATTTAATTATGTAATTAAAATCCCTTTCTCAGCTGGACAAGAAGATGGCATTTTAGTACCTAACTTTGTATGACCCAATTTAGCTGTTGCCTAAAACACCATTAGAATCAAGTTACTACTCCACACAAAAATCTATAGCTCACCTTTGCAAATAGGCAGGTCCAAATCTCTCTGCCTGATGTTCAGAGCCCTTCATAAATTGACTCAGATCTCAGACATACATTTACAGGTCTCACTACCCACAGGCTAAACTATCTCTGCAGCCACATAGATTCACCACCATTCTTTAAACATGCCAGGCCTGACCAGCCTGGCCAACATGGTGAAACTAAACATGTAGGAGACCTCTCCACCTCTGCTCCTTTGTAAGGTGGTTCTCTATGCTTTGCAGGTTCTTTCTTTCCTTTTTTTTTTTTGGTTTGTTTTTAGACAGAGTTTTGCTCTTGTTGCCTAGTCTGGAGTGCAATGGCATGATCCCGGCTCACTGCAACCGTCACCTCCCAGGTTTAAGTGATTCTCTTGCCTCAGCCTCCTGAGTGGCTGGGATTACAGGTGCCCGCCACCATGCCCTGCTAATTTATGTATTTTTAGTAGAGACAGGGTTTCACCATGTTGGCCAGGCTTGTCTTGAACTCCTGACCTCAAGTGATCCACCCACCTCGGCCTCCCAAAGTGCTGGAATTACAGGCATGAGCCACTGTGCCCGGCCTGATGGTTCTTATCAGTAAAGCCAGCATGCAAATAAATACTTGTTCATCCTAAAGGCTCACCTCAAATGCTACCTTCATTGACTTTTTTTTTTCTTGTATTTATGTATGTATGCATATATTTTTAGAACAGGGTCTCACTCTGTCACTCAGGCTGGCAAGTGCAGTGGTGCCATCATAGCTCACTGCAGCCTCAAACACCTGGGCTTAAGCAATCCTCCCACCTCAGCCTTCTGAGTAGCTAGGCCTACAGATGTGAACCACCACACCCAGCTAACTTTTTTATTTTTTCTAGAAATGGGTTCTTGCTATGTTGTTCAGCCTAGTCTCAAACTCCTGGCCTCAAGCGATCCTCCTGCCTCAGCCTCCCAAAGTGCTGGAATCACAAGTGTGAGCCACCACTCCCAGCCTTTCCCTGGCTTTTAGTCATTGACTCTCTTTACAATCGGTGCCTCGGCTGGGCACGGTGGCTCATGCCTGTGATCCGAGCACTTTGGGAGGCCGAGGCAGGTGGATCACAACGTTAGGAGTTCAAGACCAGCCTGGCCAACATGGTGAAACTAAAAATACAAAAATTAGCTGGGCATGGTGGCATGTGCCTGTAATCCTAGCTACTCAGGAGACTGAAGCAGGAGAATTGCTTGAACCAGGACCCAGGAGGCTGGGGTTGCAGTGAGCCAAGAACACACCACTGCACTCTAACCTCGGCTACAGAGCAAGACTTCATCTCAAAAAAAAAAAAAAAAAAAAAAAAAGCTGTGCCTCCTTCTCTGTGTCTGCATTGCCACCTTTGCAAAAGTCTGCCTTGTACAGCACGGTTCTCAAACTCCCTGCAGGCAGCTGGCTTGTCTTGGCAGTTTCCACAGCACCTTACTTGCTGCCTTTTGTCTGGGCACGGTGGCTCACGCCTGTAATCTGAGCACTTTGGGAGGCTGAGGCAGGTAGATCACAAAGTCAGGAGTTCAGGACCAGCCTGGCCAAGATGGTGAAACCCCGTCTCTACAAAAATAATAACAATGAAAAAAAATTAGCTGGGCATGGTGGTGGGCACCTGTAGTCCCATCTACTCAGGAGGCTGAGGCAGGGAAATCTCTTGAACCCAGGAGGCAGAGGTTACAGTGAGCTGAGATGGTGCCATTGCACTCCAGCCTGGCGACAGAGCAAGACTCCGTCTTAAACATAAATAAATAAATGAAATACACTAATGATAGCTGATGGGCTAGAAAAAAATAGCAAAATAAATCTCATAGTGTTTTAAGAAAGTTTACAAATTTGTGTTGGGCCGTGTTCAAAGCTGTCCTGGGCTGCATGTGGCCCTCGGGCCTCGGGTCAGACAAGCTTGCCTTAGCTGATGCTGTTTTTTGAGCCTGAAATGCCCTTCTTGCCTTCTTCCTTCCTGGTTGACTGCGTAGCATCTTTTAAGATCAGGTTGTCTTTGCCCTGCTCTGTTTTCTTATAACTACCTGTGAATATCTGCATCACCTTGCTTACCACATTGTTTTATATCTTTGACAGAAAAATAATTATTAATAACACATGAGTATCCACAGTCTCTTTTCCTCCTCCCACCTGCTAAAGAGGATTCTGTTAGGATCTGTGATTCTCCCAGATCATTGCACAGTATCAGAATAATAGGTGAAAGGTAGGATTGAGAAAGGCTGAGACTTGGGTAATTTGGCTTATTTTAGATGGCATGGGCAGTTACCAGCAGATGAGAGAAGATGTGTTTTAAAAGAGGGCAGAGAAGCCGGGTGCAGTGACTCACTCCTATAATCCCAGCACTTTGGGACGCCATGGCGGGTGGATCACCTGAGGTCAGGAGTTTGAGACCAGCCAGGTCAACATGGTAAAATCCTGTCACTACTAAAAATACAAAAATTAGCCAGGCATGGTGGTAAGAACCTGTAATCCCAACTACTCAGGAGGCTGAGGCAGGAGAATTGCTTGTGAGGTTGCAGTGAGCTGAGATAGCGCCATTGCACTCCAGCCTGGGCAAAAGAGCAAGACTTCGTCTCAGAAAATAAATAAATAAATAAATAGAATAATGAAAGAGGGCAGAGAGAAGAGTGAAGAAAGAAGAGCTAGGATGGTCTGGATTAGGGAAGAGCTGGAGAAAGTTTGGAGGGAGGGAAAAGAAAGGCTTTAGGGCAGAGTGAGAAATACTTTGGCCACATGGGTAAAATGCCTTTCCCCTGTTGTTCTGATGCTATACAACAATTCGATAACCTGACAGGTAAAAACAGTTGGCCAGGCACAGTGACTCATGCCTGTAATCCCAGCGTTTTGGGAGGCCAAGGCGGGCAGATCACAAGGTCAGGAGTTTAAGACCAGCCTGGCCAACATAATGAAACCCCATCTCTACTAAAAATACAAAAATTAGCCAGGCATGGTGGCATGCACCTGTAATCCCAGCTACTCAGGAGGCTGAGGCAGGAGAATCACACCATTGCACTCCAGCCTAGGCGACAGAGTGAGACTCCATCTCAAAAAAAAAAAGGTCTTCTCCTTTGCAAACAAGACAGGGGAAAGAGAAAGAGAACAATATGATTTTAAGAAAGTTTCTCATAATAATTTATGTAATTCCCCCTTTGACATTTTTCTCAAGAGACTATAATGAGATTTGAAGTTGCTTTGCAGTTATTTTTGGATGCTAACACATGGTTCTTTGTATGTGAGTCCTCCATGATCCTGACTCTAGTTTTTTTTTTTTTTTTTTTTGAGATGGAGTCTTGCTCTGTCTCCAGGCTGGAGTGCAGTGGCGTGATTTCAGCTCACCGCAACCTCTGCCTCCCAGGTTCAAGTGATTCTCCTACCTCAACCTCCCAAGTATCTGGAACTACAGGCACGTGCCACCACACGCAGCTAATTTTTTTTTTTTTGAGGAGGGGGATGGAATTTCACTCTTATTGTCCAGGCTAGAGTACAATGGCGCGATCTCGGCTCATGGCAAACTCCACCTTCCAGGTTCAAGCTATTCTCCTGCTTCAGCCTCCTGAGTAGCAGGGATTACAGGCATGTGCCAACACACCCAGCTAATTTTGTACTTTTAGTAGAGACAGGGTTTCACCGTGTTGGTAGGGTTGGTCTCAAACTCTTAACCTCAGGGGATCAGCCTCCCAATGTGCTGGGATTATAGGTGTGAGCGCCAGCCCTGACCAGTATTTTTAGGCACTTCCTTTCTATTGACTCTTTTCCCCTAGCCATATAAATATTCATTGTTCTCCTTTCTAATTAAAACAAAAGGAGGAGGAGGTGGAAGTATCAAGAAGAAAGAGAAGGAAAAGAGAAGAGAGGAAGCAGGAGCAGGAAAAGGTGGAGAAGACCTTCAACATTAGACAAACTGGACCATGCGACACTCCTCTGCCATGTAGCTAATGAATCAATCAGTAAGTGAACCCCTTCAGTGACAAGTCTTGGTTACACCAGCCAATGAATGTATTAACACCCAGTGACTTCAGCTCAGCTGTTACAGTAAACAGAGAATTACTTGTTTCCTTCCGTGACCCTGTGGAATATTTACAAGATGCAGCTGAAAAACTTCATTGTCACATGGTATTAAGATACAGGTTTCGGTAGGGCAGGGTGGCTCACGCCTATAATCCCAGCACTTTGGGAGGCTGAGATGGATGGATCATGAGGTTAGGCATTCAAGACCAGCCTGGCCAACATGGTGAACCCCTGTCTCTACTAAAAAAAAAGTACAAACAAATTAGCTGGGTCTGGTGATGTGCGCCTGTAATCTCAGCTACTCAAGAGACTGAGGCAGGAGAATCACTTGAACCCAGGAGGCAGAGGTTGCAGTGAGCCAGGATCACGACACCGCACTCCAGCCTGGGGGACAGAGGGAGACTCTATCTAAAAAAAAAAAAAAAAACGTATACACGTTTCAAATGTTGCTCAATCAGCCTGTAATAAACCATTTCAAAACTGACCAGGGTTAGGGTGATCAGCCCACCTCAGTCTCCAAAATCCTGGGATTACAGGCATGA